GGAAGACACTGCATACAGCATTTCTTAAGCCAGCTCCCCCAACTCCATCGAATGGATAATGTTCTCCAGAACCCCCTCTGGTAAACACTAAAATTATGCCATGGTGTGGGGTATGGGGCTCCCTCTGTACTTGTGCACAGCCCTGATGGATGGGTCGATGTTTCCTGTTCCAGCTCAGTGAGGCTTCCTATCTCTAACTCTATCGCTGAACCCCTGGTGTTTGGGATTTGGGGTCTTCATGGCAGATGCACTGTGCCCTGGTGGACAGACGGGGATTGATCCAAACTGTGACACGGCTCATGAGGCCTGCATGATCTGGTTCCTGCTCAGCTCTTCTGTGTGCCGCCCCTCAGTCACTCTAAATTCTCCAGCCATGCTAAACAATTTCGGGCCCTCCAAAAAGCCCAGATCATTCTGCCTGAAGCTCCCTTCACTCTCATGTCTTTCCCCATCCTGCCAACCTGACTCCTCTATGACCTTCGGGATTCAGCTTAAGAGTCTTACATTCCAATAAGCTTCCCTGACTCTCGCCCACCCCCAGGTCAGAAACCCCTTCCTGATGGTGCCCAACATGGGGCATCTACAGATCATTGCAGCCTATTTTGAGAAGAAATCTTCAATGGTCTCTGCCTTTAAGCAGGGCTTGGGGTCTTACCCAGCCTCTCAGGAGGCAGACACAGCACCTTGTTCAGTTTTTGTTTTTGTTTTTTGTTTTTCAATTATAGCATCATGCCTGGCATATGAAGTACTCAATAAATGGTCAATCAGTGAATATGTCAGTGCATGACTTGTGGCCATTCCCCTGTTTGTGACGCCCATGCTAGGGTAAAAGAAGTGATGTACATTCCCCCACCCCCACCCCCAACATCTGCTTCTGATGTTTGTGGTCTAATGAGGAGAGGAAAAATCACAGGTACCTTCTCTGCACAGCACCTAGGCTCCAGAAGGGGAGTGAGAAAAAAAAAATCCTGAAGGACTTCCATTTTCACTCATCTTCATTTCAAACTGACCTCACACTAATTTCATCATCTCTGCCTATTTTATTTTGCAAATATAAAATGCTCACTCTTACCTGATCTCAAACCAGGCAAAGTGAAGAACAAAGGGAGGCCCAAACTCTACCAGTATGATGTCCACTTGTATACCTAATCCTGAATTGTACCCCACATCTTTAAAATAAAAAATATATGAACAACAACAACAACAATAACAACAAAAAAACTCACTCTTTTTTTTTTTTTGAGTTGGAGTCTCACTTTGTCACCCAGACTGGAGTGCAGTGGCCACTCCCGGCCACCGCAGCCTCGACCTGCTGGGCTCCGGCGATCCTTCCGCCTCAGCCTTCCAAGTAGCCGGAACAACAGGCGCGCTACCACGCCTGTAAAATTTTTGATTCATTGTAGAGAGGAGGTCTCGCCAAGTTGCCCGGGCAGGTCTCGAACCCGCAGGCTCAGGCAATCCACTCACCTCGGCCTCCCAAAGTGCTGGGATTACAGGCTGAGCCACCGAGCCCAGCCTGTTTTAATTTTTTATATGGTAAATATTGATTAGACATACACATAAGCTCTTTGGTGGTGTCACTACAGAATTTAAGAATGTAAAGAATGAGAACCACTAATTTAGGCCAAGTTTGCCCTGGAGCTGGGGATCAGCTGGAGGAGTGGGTGTTAGGTGGGGACGCAGCTGCGTCTGCTGTGCTTCCATTCCTTCTCTCTTTGGTTCCTCAACTTTGAGCATGCATCAAAATCGCTGTAAAGTGTTAAAACGTAGATGGCTGGGCCTCACCCCCGAGTGTTTGATTCAGCAGGTTTGGGGCGAGGACTGAACATGCCCAACCTCGATAGTTCCCAAGTGAATCTAGGCTACTGGGCGTGGGGCGTGTGCGTTCACGGCTTATACCGTTTTACTCATCCCAAATTTGAAGATTACAAGTTCACCAAGTCTCGAATAAAGGCAGAGATTTTCAGACACTAAGACAAAATTTTAAAAGCAAATGCTGTCGGTTAAAAAATGGGGCTCACGCTATTAGCAATAAATACCACCTACTCCCTGTAAGGAACTCGTGAATTAGAGAAAGATGCGAACTAAGAAAATATAACGCTGGTAGTGCAGTAAGGAGGCACGGAGGAGAATGATTTTGGCCGCAGAAAGCCGCCTAAAAAGTTCCGGGTACTACTGGATGCACGCACCCACCCACCCAGCATAGGCGGGCGCTCCAGGACCCGCGCCGGAAACGCGGTGGGAAATCGCCGCCGCAGCCCCGCCTTTCCTGCCGGCCGGAAGAGGCCCGGGCGCCTGCTCAGTACGCGCCGGCTGGGCGACCGTGCGCCGGCGTAGCCAGGTCCTTCCGGGCAGCTGTAGCCTCGCTCCGGCGGGTTAGCGAGGCATGGAGCCGGTGGGCGGCGGCGGTGATCGCCGCGGCTCCTCCTCCGCAGACCCACGAAGCACCTTCGTGTTGAGTAACCTGGCAGAGGTGGTGGAGCGTGTGCTCACTTTCCTGCCCGCCAAGGCGCTGCTGCGGGTGGCCGGGTGAGGAGAGCGAAGGCGGGAAGCTTACCTCAGGACGTGCCGCGGGCATGCCGGGGCTGACGGGGTGGGCAGAGACTGCCGGGACCCAGGGGTGTTCCGACCCCGTCGCCCTGCCTGAGGCGACCTCCACCCGCGGGGTGTCCCCGCCGTAGTGCCCCCGTAAGGTGATCTCGGCGTCCGGCTCTCCCTCCAGCACCCCGACACGTACCTCTTCCGGGGATTTTGGATCCCGCGGGGGTCGCCTGCTGCGCCGCCGACGGCGGGGCGGGGGGTGGGGGCCCGAGCCTCGGGAGATGGAAATGAACGTCGGTTCGCAATCCTCTGTGCGTTTACGTCCCCAGCGTGTGCCGCTTGTGGAGGGAGTGTGCGCGCAGGGTGCTGCGGACCCATCGGAGCGTGACCTGGATCTCCGCGGGCCTGGCGGAGGTCGGCCACCTGGAGGGGCATTGCCTGGTTCGCGTGGTGGCCGAGGAGCTTGAGGCAAGTCGGAAGGGGTGTCGTGCGCAGTCAGTGGCAGGGCTGGTGGCTCCCTCTTGGAGAACGACTTGTACCTTCCAGTTTTATTCATTTAGGAAACGTTTTCTCGCGCCGTGAAAGAATCTTGTAAACGTCCGTTTTAGTGACTGCCCTGTAAGACGTGCCTGGTTGGTTTGACCGTTCATCCAGTGTTGGCTATTTTAAGTGTCCAGATTTTCACTGTGATAATAATGTTGCGTGGAGCCTTCCCTTCTGCTTCACCCCTTGCCTTGAAGCAGATACTGTCTGTTTTGGGAAAAGCCAACTGGGTGTGGCTTGCGCAGTATCACACAACCGAAAGCCAAGAGCCAAAACTTAAATCCAAATATTTCAACTCCCAGTCCTGTACTCTTTCACTTTTGGGGCCATCATTTCAAAAGGGGAGCCAACACCTGGGGAGGTAAAGACTTTGACTGTGGAGTCAGAGGGCCAGCAGACTGTGGTGTCTGTCTTGAGGAGTGGGAGGGAACTATTTGGGAGTCAAGTGCCAACCTGATGCTTTGTATACGTCACTATAACTGGTGGACAAGCATACCACAGTGCAGCCGTGAAAATCAGGAAATTATCACAGATACATATCTACTGATTCGTCCTCACACTCGGTTCAGATCTTGCCAGTTGTCCCCGTGATGTTTTTCATGGCAAAAGAGTCACAATTTGCTTTAAATAAGTCATGTTTCTTGAGTCTCCTTGATCTGGAGCAGTTTCTCAAGCTTTGTTTGACTTTACCTCGATGCTGGCCAGTTATGCTGTGGAATGTTCATCAACTGGCCGTGTCTGAGGTTTCCTGCTAGATTCAGATTATATATCTTTGGCATGACTATCACACAAGGGATGCTGTTTTCTCATGGCATCTGTCAGGTGGCATATAATTTCCATTTGTCCCATTGCTGGTGATAATTAGCTTGATTACGTGATTATGGGGGTGTCTGTTAGGTGTCTCTATACTAAGCTTACTCTTTCATGCTAATTAATTGTTTTGTGGAGAGTTACTTTGAAAATATGTAAATGTCCTGTTTCAGTTTATTCATTTATATCTCCACCCAATCTTGGTCTCTTTTGTTTTTTTTGAGTCATGGTATCACTCTGTCACCCAGGTGACAGGGCTCACCGCAGCCTCAACCTCCTGGACTCAGGCTATCCTTCCGCCTCAGCCCCCTGTTTAGCAGGGACTAGGTACATGCCACCATGCCCAACTACTTTTTTTTTTTTTTTTTTTGAGTTGGAGTGTCACTGTCGCCCAGACTGGAGTGCAGTGGCCACTCCCGGCCACCGCATCCTCGACCTGCTGGGCTCCAGTGATCCTTCCGCCTCAGCCTTCTAAGTAGCTGGAACTACAGGCACGCACTACCACGCCCAGCTAATTTTTGATTTATTGTAGAGATGAGGTCTAGCCAAGTTGCTCAGGTGGGTCGCGAACCCGTGGGCTCAGGCAATCCACTCACCTCAGCCTCCCAAGGCGCGGGATTACAGGCTGAGCCACCGATCCTGGCCCAACTACTTTTTAAAATTTTTTGTAGAGACGAGATCTCACTATGTTACCCAAGCTGGTCTTGAACTCCTGAACTTAAGCAGTCCTCCCACCCTGACCTCCCAAAGTGTTGGGGTTACAGTCATGAACCACCATGTCCAGCTCCTCTTATTTTTATTGACTGGAATGTAATCTGTTACTATCAGTATTTATTTGAGTGCTCACATTGCTCCCAGTTTGTCTAGAGGAAGCCCCTTCAGTGTCTTTTAGAGATGACTATTATCTTTGAACACTTGTTGTCTTGGTGCAAGATGTTCTAAGCCTGTCTTGTGTTTTGCCTGCTTTGGTCTTGGAATCAGCCATTTCTCCAAGAAGCTCTTGTTCCTTTTGGTGGAGAACTGTATTTAGAAGCCAAGATCTGAACTTTGATTGTACCCATTGCTTTTGAGGGATTTGCTGCTCCAAAGCCCATTCAGTGAACAGAGCCAAAGAATATATGTATGTATACATACATGCATGTGTATGTATATACGTCTATATATATACACATACATTAACTACATTTCTATCTGTCTATATGTGGAAACTCTTGAGTTCACACAGGTACATCCATTTCCAATCAAACACAGTATTCTTTCTAGTTTGTCTCTGTTCATATTTGTACCCATGAAAGTACAAATCCCTTTTGGGCAGTGAAAAGCCTGGCTCTCATCATTCTTAATATATTTAAATATTAGATATTAACACCCCATATGTAGTTAGTCTTCTGGTTCCCCCTTCCTTGTGTGTACTTTCTCTTTACCTTATTTGGGCTTTGTGACTCATATTCCAGGGTGCTGGCCAGGATCCAGAGGCAATTGTTAGAAATTCCTTCTCTGGCACTTTGGCCCAATCTTGCTGTTTCTAAAAGTTTGTCATTTCGAAAAATTCAAAATGCAAGCAAAGACTTTTCCACAAAAATGTTCTTTGGCGCATCGTTTATAACAAGGGAAATTAAAAACAATCTAATATTATCCCTAATAAATGAAGTCATTAAATGATAAACTGCAAGATGCATTAATGACAAGAGAAAATGTTGATGTTAAAAGTGAAAAAAGTGGATTATGAAATAATGTGTGTAGTATCATCTGAATTTTTTTAAATAAATGAAGAGTAGAAAAGAAGGCCAAACTGTTAGCAAGTTTCTTTTGGGGATAGAAGTGTGTGGGGGTTTTTTAAAATGCTTTTTAAAAGTTTTTTTCTGTGTGGTGGTTGTTTTCAAATTTTTACCACAGCAGACATTTTTATATAACTTAAAAAATGTATACTTTGTAAGTGTCTCTTACAGCTAGACAGATTTAGGTGTGAACCCCACTCAGCTTTGGCACATACTAGCAGTGTGACTTTTAAAGTTGTTTAACCTCTCTGAGCTCAGGTTCTATTTCCATATAATAAAAAGAAAAAATAATTCCTCTATACCCTTATAGAGTTAAATAATATTTAAGCCTTATAGGCTTAAATAATGAAAAGTAATGCAAAAGTTAACACATTACCTATGGTACGAAGAATATAAGTTTTTAAAAGTTGTTTCAAATCCTATCTTCTTAATATTATTAAAATTCATACAGTAATGCCCTTAAAGAAGTTATACATAGCTGGGTACAGTGGCTCAGCCTATAATTCCAGCAGTTTGGGAGGCCAAGGTGAGAGGATTGCCTGAGCCCGGGAGTTCAAGACCAGTCTGAGCAACTTGGTGAGACCTCGTCTCTACAATTAAAAAGAAATAAAATAAAATAAGCCAGGCGTGGTAGCACACACCTGTATTTCCAGCTACTTGGAAGACTGAGGCGGAAGGATTGTCTGAGCCCAGCCAGGATGAGGCTGCAGTGACCATGAGCGTGCTACTGCACTCCAGCCTGGGTGGCACAGTGAAACTCCAACTCAAAAAATAAAATTTTTTTTACATTATAGTACACTACTCATGAGGTAAAACATGGAAACCCTATTGAAATTATACATGCTGTTTATTTGTACTTTACAAATTCTCAGTAGATGTGGTACTTCCTTAGCCATAAAGAAAGTTGATTCAGCTTTTTTGTTAGAAATATTTTAAAGTCCACTGAAAGTTTCATAAAACAGCTTGCTGTTTGTAATTTTTTTGAATAATCAGATGTGGTCCTAGCTGTCTTACATTGTGCTTTGAGAACATTTTATGTTAAGTTTTGTCATTGCCCTGCTTCTAATGAGAATTAGGAAGTGAAATTCATCAGTTGTTTTTCCATGGGTGTCAGAAAAGAGAGACTCATAAAACCTCAGGATAAGATTTATAATATTTATTTAAGGCTAGAAAACCTGAGGCCTAAAAACATCATGAAGGTTATTCTGCTGGTTTGTTGCAGAGTCAGCACTAAGACCTAATATCTTGAATCTGTCTCCTTTACTCATTATACCAGGCTTTACAGACTCAGATGACTTGAAGGTCAGGCAGGTAGCTGAAGAGGCTCAGGTAGCTCAGTGGAGTGGTAGGGTCATGATAGGCTAGAAAAGGCTTGCCTCTGTTTACCTCCAATCTAGAGGCATTGGTCCAAGTGTTGCCAGACTGTCTAGTTTTGTGGAGTTTTGAGTGTTGGCAACTAGTTTACTTTTTTTTTTTTTTTTTTTGAGTTGGGATCTTGCTCAGTCACTCAGGGTGGAGTGCAGTGGCACGCTCACAGTTCACTGCAACCTTGACCTCCTGGGCTCAGGCAATCCTATCAGCCTCTCGAGTAGCTAGGAATACAGGTGTGTGTCACCATGCCCAGCTAATTTTATTTTAATTTTTTGTAGAGATGAGGTCTTGCTATGTTGCCTAGGCTGGTCTCAGGCTCTTGGGCTCAAGCAAAGGTCCTGCCTTGGCCTCCGAAAGTGCTGAGATTACAGGCAAGAGCCACTGTGCCCGACCTGGTTTACAACTTTTTTTGAAAATGCAGTGTGGACCAAGGAAACTGTTTCTACAGGTCTTGTCCAGCACTGAGGCCAAAGGTCGTCATGCTGTCTCAGTATCTGTTATAAGTTTATCTATATAAAATCGATTCTGAAACATCTTAATATTCTGCCAAATTATAATGGATCAACAGTTTTTTTCATATAACCAAGAATGAGACTTTGCTATATACTAAGTACTTCATTCCATTCTGATAGCAAAAACCTTTGAAAATAACCAGTTTAAAAGGAAAAATATCTTCATTTGCTTCAGCTACTTTACCACTTGTGTGTAACTGGAAGGTTTAATGGAAAATAGATAAGTCTGAATAGGCCCAGTTCACAGGGGATGTAGACACAAATAAGAATAGGGGGAAATGTGAGGAATGTTGCATAGAACGTCTAGGATACTGAGGAGTCTAGGAAAAGGTTTTGCAGAGGAGGTGGCACTTAAAGTGCCTCTTGAGAGAAACAGTTTAAATCAAGTTCCACAGGGAGACAACAACAGGAGAACATGCAGAAGTGGGTGTGTCTGGGTAATAGTAAGCTAAGGATCCCCAGAGGAAAGTAGTCAGTAAGGCTAGGAATGAAGACCTGGAGTATTTGATTTGATAGGTAATGGAAAGAGGACTGCAATAGCCTGTACACTTCCCTTGGTGCTGAGATTTTTGTTACTATAATGTCTGTTCAAATAAAAAGCAATGGTATCTTTTGCTCTTAAAATTTGATGGCCTTGTTTTAAGAGCTTAAATTATTTTGAAAATGAACTTCTTGAAAGCTGGAATGAGTTTGACTTTAAGAAATTATAAGTAGTCAGCCGGGTTCGGTGGCTCAGCCTGTAATCCCAGCGCCTTGGGAGGCTGAGGTGAGTGGATTGCCTGAGCCTGCGGGTTCGAGACCCACCTGGGCAACTTGGCGAGACTTCATCTCTACAATAAATCAAAAAATTAGCCGGGCATGGTTGCACGCGCCTGTAGTTCCAGCTACTTGGAAGGCTGAGGCGGAAGGATCGCCGGAGCCCAGCAGGTCGAGGCTGCGGTGGCCGGGAGCGGCCACTGCACTCCAGTCTGGGCGACTGAGTGAGACTCCAACTCAAAAAAAATAAATAAATAAATAAATAAATTATAAGTACTCAATAAGTGAGCTAAAAACGAAAAGCATGAGTGAGAAATGATTGAGAAGTGGATGGAATCAGGATGGCGACATAGACCCAAAGGGGAAGGTAGGGCAACAGCAGTTTGGGCTGGGGAGACACTTAAAGGGACTACATGAAAGCACTCACAGATTCATGGAATCCAATTACCATTTTTATCTTTGCAGAATGTTCACATCTTACCATGTACAGTTCTCTACATGGCTGATTCAGAGACTTTCATTAGTCTGGAAGAGTGTCATGGTCATAAGAGAGGTAAATATAAAAGTTTTGGGGGTTTTTTTTGGTCGTTCCATTATGTGCCTTCTGTTTGGAGTTCAGTATTGTACTAGTCCTGAGAATTAACTGGCTTTCTGAGGCTGTGTCTGGGACTGGCCCCTGTAGTGTGCATGATAATATCTGTCTTTGAACCTTGAGGAGTCCTTTTTGCTTCAGATTGATTTCTAAACCTTGCAGTTCTTTAGAAAGGTGTTTTCTCACTTTGAAATACTTTACTCCTCCAGGCACTTCTTTTTATTATTAAAACAAGATTTATGACTTTGGCTATTCTGGCCTTTTACTGTGTTGGAACATGGGGTCCCATTTATCAATGTTGTCACAGAGATTGTGCATTCTTGGCTTTCTAAGGAAAAAAGCAGACTAAGTATCCAAGATGGACACACTGAGACCCCCAGTTAGTCTTAGATAATGGGTTCTTGTCTCATTTGAATCCAGTGGACTGTTTAGGCAGTCTAGTTGTAGTTATGCTGTACTGTCAGCTGTAAGGTACAATAACAAGTCTAGAATTTAGGTCCTACTGCTAAGTTTGACATTGGGGTAAGAGCAGTATATGAATAAAGGGGAAAGGCAAACTCATGATGCTAAAGGTCAGATTTAGGATTTAAAATATAATCAGAGCCAGGCTCGGTGGCTTAGCCTGTAATCCCGCACCTTTGGGAGGCTGAGGTGAGTGGATTGCCTGAGCCCGCGGGTTCGAGACCTGCCTGGGCAACTTGGTGAGACCTCATCTCTACAATAAATCAAAAAATTAGCCGGTCGTGGTAGCGCGCGCCTGCAATTCCAGCTACTCGGAAGGCTGAGGCGGAAGGATCGCCGGAGCCCAGCAGGCGAGGCTGCGGTGGCCGGGAGTAGCCACTGCACTCCAGTCTGGGTGACAGAGTGAGACTCCAACTCAAAAAATAAATAAATAAATAAAATAAAATAAAATATAAGCAGGAGCCAAATGGGAAAAATGCTTTAATCAAAGCTTTTAGACATTTTTTGTAAAGCATTATGGTATCAAATGACTTGAAGATTTCCAGCATTTGCTTTTTTTAATAAAAAAATTCAGATTTGACTTTAAATTGATGGTATTTAATAATTTTGCTACTGTATTTTTGCAGCAAGGAAAAGAACTAGTATGGAAACAGCACTTGCCCTTGAGAAGCTATTCCCGAAACAGTGCCAAGTCCTTGGGATTGTGACCCCAGGAATTGTAGGTGAGAGAAATTAGTGACTTGATGATTTCCTCCTTGCACTAATGTGGGGTCCTGTCGATTAGTGAGTTATAAGTATCTGTAGCCTAAAAGCATGTTTATATATTTCTGGCCATCCAAAATAAAATAAAGTTAGATATATTTACCATGGTATAATATTTATGTTAATGTTTATTAAGTTATTGTGGTTAGTATTTCAAATCTCAAGGCTACCTGTATAAACCAAATGCAATGCATATCCAGTAGCCATTCATAAGAGGGATATTATTAATGAAAGATCTCATTCTGCCTCCCTCCAAACTGGGAAGTATTTTAGAATATTTTCAGTTTTGTCTGTTTAGCCAATCCTCTTCCTGGAGATGGGTGAGATGGGGCTTAGAGTAGGATCTAAGACGGCCTTACTAGAAAGCTTCTGCTTCTTTGCATAGCTACCACGGCTTAATGATTTTAGCCTGAGGTTATGTCCTTTTCCATATTTGATTTGCTGCTGGTGAATTTCTATTGGGTTTTATTGTTTCTTATTATTTTCTGTAGGTAATGGAGGAGAAAGAAGGTTCTGTTGAGGCCATAATGGTGCAGTGGTTAAAATACCTGGATTGGAATACCAGCTGTACCACTTAGTATCTTATCTGTATGATTTTGAGCAAGTTACTTAACTTCATGGGACTTCAGTTTCTCCATCAACAAAATGGAGATGATGATGATAGTAGTACATTCCTTGGGGGGGTTATGAGAATTAAATGAATTAACACGTGCAAGCATTTAGAATAGAGATACACAGTACGCAGTAATTGTTATTATTTGTTCCAACTCAGTAGTATTCCATAATTGGCATTTTTAATTCTCACTGAAGGACTTTTAATCTGAATTTAAGAGTTTTGTACAATGAGGTACATAGGATTTCAGGTGTTTACAAATGCATATTACATTTCCATATTGCCCTAGCTTCAGTTTTTAGTAAAGCTTTATTAAAAAGGAGTTTAGGAGTCAGGCTCGGTGGCTCAGCCTGTAATCCCACACCTTGGGAGGCTGAGGTGAGTGGATTGCCTGAGCCCGCGGGTTCAAGACCCGCCTGAGCAACTCGGTGAGACCTCATCTCTACAATAAATCAAAAAATTAGCCGGGTGTGGTAGCACGTGCCTGTAGTTTCAGCTACTTGGAAGGCTGAGGCGATGATCGCTGGAGCCCAGCAGGTCGAGGCTGCGGTGGCCGGGAGTGGCCACTGCACTCCAGTCTGGGTGACAGAGTGAGACTCCAACTCAAAAACAAAACAAAAAAAAGGAGTTTAGGACAGTGTGGTGGCTCACTCCTGTAATCCCAGCACTTTGGGAAGCTGAGGCAGGAGGATTGTTTGAGCCCAGGAGTTTGAGACCAGCCTGGGCAACATAGTGAGACCATGTCTCTACAAAAAGTAAAAAAAAATCAGTTAGGTGTGGTGGTGCATGCCTGTAGTCTCAGCTACTCAGGGAGCTGAGGTGAAGATCACATGAGCCCAGGAGGTCAAGGCTGTGGTGAGCCATGATCATGCCTCTGCTCCCCAGCCTGGGTGAGAGAGGTTTTTTTTTAAAGTTTATTTCTTTTATATACTAGCAATAGTCATTTATTGTTAGATACAGGTAAGCAAAAGAAAAAAAATGAGCACTTTAAGTACTAGTTAACTATTATATGTTAGTATTTATGTTTATATTGCATATATATAAAACCAGAGTATAATTTTCTACAGACCTGTAATCTACTATATTAATCTGCCAGGGCTATTATAGCAAAATATCAACAAGGGTACCTGCATAATGAACATTTGTATACCTAATCCTGAATTGTACCCCACGTATTTGAGATAAAAAATTAAAAGGAAAAAACCAAAACCCTCAAAATACCACAGACTGGGTGACTTATGCAACAGAAATTTATTTTCTCACAGTTTAAGTTTAGGAAACTGGAAGTCTAAGATCAGCGTTGGTTTTCCTGAAGCTTGTAAACAACTGCTCTCTCATTGTGTTCTCATGTGGCTTTTTCTATACATGTAAGCATGCCTGGTCTCTTTCTTTTTTGAGACAGGGTTTCATTCTGTCACCAGGCTGGCATGATCTCGGCTTACCATATCCTTGAACTCTTGGACACAAGCGATCCTCCTGTCTTCCCCCGAGAAGCTGGGACTACAGGCACACACCACCATGCTCAGCTAATTTTTCTATTTTTAATAGAGACTAGGTCTCCTTTTTTTGCCCAGACTGTCCTCAAACTCCAGGCCTCAGGCAATCCTCCCTCCTCAGCTTCCCAAAGTGCTGGGATTACAGACATAAGCTACTGCACCTGGCCTCCTGGTCTTTTCTTATGGGGTTCTGCTGTTGGACTAGAGCCCCACCCTTATGACCTCATTTAATCTTAACTGTCACTTTAAAGGTCTTATCTCCAAAATACAGTCACATAGAAGGTTGAGGGGACACAAGTCAGTCTATAAAACCCACCTTTAAAATTCACAGCATATTACAAACATATTTCCATGTCAATAAATACGCATCTGTCATCATTTTAATGGCTACTTTCTATTTTACAAATGTAACTTTTAATGTAAATGCCAGTGCAGGACATTCAGGTTTTTTTGCTTTTATTTCCTAGTAAAAGTTCTGTGATAAAAAGTACTTGTGTGTTTATATACTTTATATAGTTGTCAAATATTTTTAGGATAAATTTTTAACCCTTTGCACTCAGACATCTCGCAGTTCACCTACCAGCAACTCGACCACACTTTTTTACGAAATAGTAAAAAAAAGAATCACTTCAGTGTATTATATAATATAGTATTGGAACTCATTATTTTATTGTAATGATATTTGGTTTATAATACAGTCTTGGATATTGAGGGACTTATGACAAAAATAAAAATTTTTTATCTTCTATTTTTCCAATGTTTGGTAACTTGTGGAACAGTCACTGACATGCATTGCAGGTTCATTGATACATGTGCAGAAGTAATTTGTTGGATGTCTTCCACCTACTGTTTTTCTATTTGAGCAGACAATGCAGTCTCGTTTTCTTGCTCTGACAATAACGTGTGATTTTATTGTCCAGTCTGCTGTTGGGAGATGTGGAAGGCTATACTTGTGATTCTTGAATACCACTTCTCAGTATATATTCCATCTGTTTATTTGCTTTTTCATGCAGTTTGAATGGAAAGCTTCAAGGAAACATACTTTGAAAAATTTGCGCTTGTATAAGTTTATCCTATATAATCACCAGCACTGAGAGGGGACATCCAAATGCAAAGGGTTAGAAGTAGAATTGCTGTGAAAGTGTATTTACTACTCCCCAACTTTTTATTTTGAAAAACTTCAAACCTATGGAAAGATTCAAAGAATAATAGAATAGTATGGTAAATACCCATGTATCCTTCATCTTGATTCACTAATTGAAAAAATTTTTGCATCATTTGCTTTTTTCCACTTTGCTTATAAAAACACTTCTTTCTGAACCATTTGAAAGTTAAGTAGCAGACATTATGACACTACACCCTAAAATTGTCAAAAGCTGAAAAATTTTACTCAGATAGTGGCCTATTGGTGATTATTTTAGTGATCTAAACTGTAGTTATCAAGGTGTGACTGGTTAATTTATGCCATTAATTTATCAAGTTAAACTTCAGTTTTTATTGAATCTGTTCATGAAACTGGTTAACTTTCCCCAGTGACTCCAATGGGATCATGTAGCAATCGACCTCAGGAAATAGAAATTGGAGAATCTGGTTTTGCTCTGTTATTCCCTCAAATCGAAGGAATAAAAATACAGCCTTTTCATTTTATTAAGAATCCGAAGAATTTAACACTAGAAAGACATCAACTCACTGAAGTAGGTAAGTTACTGTTACTTATCATTAATCACTCATTTTGTTGATTAGTTTCTGTTTTTAAATCTGGGAGAATCTCAATTAAGTACACCTGTTACTGGAGATGTGAATAGTTCAAACTAGTGACTAACTGGCTAGTGTTGTACATTTTTGGTAGAATTTATTTACTTTTTAAATTATTTTACTTGCATTAATGCCCATGAGAACCAGAGATGAAAAATTTTTCATAAGTACTCTGTTGATAATAAACTTGTTTGTATTTAATTCAGAATTTTGAAGGAATTCTTGGTCTGCTAGTTTCTTATCATTTTTCTTTTTTTTTTTTTTTTGACGCTAACAAGTTTTTTTAAAAGCTTTTATCTCTTTTTTATACTAGTAAAGTTTTTAGAAGAAGTATTTTAGTTCTTTGTGGACTAATTAGAAAGAAGAAAAGAAGCATGAAGGGGACCAAAAAACCCCGGAATTTATTTATAAAAAATTGTGTATTTATTTTTTATGCTTAAACTTCAGTCAACTTCTAAGTACTCTTCACTTAATGCAATACACCTATTGAAATGCTTATTTTACCACTCAAAACAGTTTTCAAGCTTGGCAGTTTTGATGCCTTTTAGTGCTGTTGCCATTTTTTGTTTCAGCTCTTCCACATCAGCAAAATGTTACCTTTTGAGGACTTTTTTCATACAGGGAAACAAACAAAAAAAAAGTCTCTCAGGATGAGGTTGGATGAATAGGGAGGATAGGGCATGGGAGCTATGCTGTTTTGATCAAAAACTGCTGAAAACTCAGCATGGTACAGGCAGATGTGCTCGTAAGTCACCCATCATGAAACGGGCAAAGGCATTGAAAGAATCTCCACACATTGGGAGGCTGAGGTGAGTGGATTGCCTGAGCCCGTGGGTTCGATACCCGCCTGGGCAGCGAGACCTCATCTCTACAATAAATCAAAAAATCAGCTGGACATGGTAACGCACGCCTGTAATTCCGGCTACTTGGAAGGCTGAGGCGGAAGGATCGCTGGAGCCCAGCAGGTCGAGGCTGTGGTGGCTGGGAGCGGCCACTGCACTCCAGTTTGGGTGACAGAGTGAGACTCCAACTCAAAAAAAAAAAAAAAAAAAGAATCTCCACACACAAAAAATTCACTGAAGCTGAATGTAGCCTCTCATAACAACGCTAACTGGACATTGATGCTGATGGGTTCCTAGAACACTTACTTAGTGTACTACGAGGCGCCCACCCTCCAAAAGACAATTCGAGGTTCTTTTAGGTCCCCTCTTTTTTTTTTTTTTTTTTTCCAGTTGGAGTCTCACTCTTTCACTCAGACTGTAGTGCAGTGGCCACCCCCAGCCACCGCAGCCTCGTCCTGCTGGGCTCCGGTGATCCTTCCGCCTCAGCCTTCCAAGTAGCTGGAACTACAGGCGCGCTCTACCACGCCTGGCTAATTTTTTGATTTATTGTAGAGATGAGGTCTCGCCAGGTTGCCCAGGCAGGTCTCGAACCCGCAGGCTAAGGCAATCCGCTCACCTCGGCCTCCCAAGGCGCTGGGATTACAGGCTGAGCCACCGAGCCCGGCCTGGGTCCCCTCTTATATAGTGACCCGATGAGTGTTAGGAAAGGTATAAGTTAAAGCAAAATCTACCCAGTGAGGGGTGCACTAGGACACATCTAACAGGAAGATGTGTCCTGATGGAGCCATGAGAGGTGACTTTGAAGAAGTAAAGGGTTGGCTTAGTGTCTAAGCTTTGATGGGAAAGCTTAACTAATCTAGTAAGCAACAAACTAGTTATTCAAGGAAGGTGGTACTAAAGCCTTTTATCTAATTCTGCAAATGAACTGATTGGACTTGTTTAACTTACTAGAATTATCACTATTAAAAAAAAAATAACTCTTAGCATAAAAACTATTTAATAGTAACACCTTGTTTTTGCATAGATCAGCCAGCCTGTAGAGGGAAGCCTCTGTTATTTGAAGTGACACTTAAGCTAGCAGGAATAAAAAACTGTAACAGCAAAAGAGAAGTTGTTAGTGAAAAAAAAATCAGAAAAAAAGAAACATACACATTGAGACTAGTTTTTACAGCTATCACTAACAATGCAAAAACAAAGAGTGAAAGTGACTGGTGGATGGGAGGTGAGGCACAAACTAAGAGGCACTGGCAGCTGGCAGCTCTTAAGAATGTGGACAAAGCTGGGTGCTGTGGCTCACTCCTGTAATCCCAGCACTTTGGGAAACCAAGGCAAGAGGATTGCCAGAGCCCATGGCTTCGAGACCAGCCTGGACCTCATCTCTGCAATAAATAAAAAAACTAGCTGGGTGTGGTGGCATGCTCCTGTGGTTCCAGCTACTTGGAAGGCTAAGGTGGAAGGATCGCCTGAACCCAGCAGGTCGAGGCCGCAGTGGCCATGAGCAGCATGCCACTGCACTCCAGCCTGGGTGACAGAGTGAGACTCCAACTCAAAAAAAAAAAAAAAAAGAATGTGTACAAGGATGGTCAGGTACAGAGAGAAAATGGGAAGTTTCAATAGCCAGCTCTGGTGTGAAGCAAGGTAGCGTAGCTACTAAGAGTGCAGACTTGGAAATGAAATCAGTATGTCAAAGAGATAGCTGCTCTTGCATGATTTTGGGGCTTTTTTTTTTCCTTTTTTTGAGTTGAAGTCTCACTCTGTCTCCCAGGCTGGAGTGCAGTGACATACTCATGGCCACTGTAGCCACGACCTGCTGGGCTCAGGTGATCCTTCCAAGTAACTGGAACTACAGACTTGTGCCTCCATGCCTGACTGATTTTTTGATTTATTGTAGAGACGAGGTCTTGCCGTGTTACCCAGGCTGATCTCGAACCCCTTGGCTCAGGCAATCCTCTTGCCTTCGCTTCTCGACGTGCTGGGGTTACAGGAGTGAGCCACCATGCCCAGCTATACTTGCATATTTATTGCAGCACTGTTCACAATAGCCAAGATGTGGAATCAACTTAAGTGTCCATCAACAAATGAATGGATAAGTAGTATATATATATACATGGTTTTGCCAATTTGTGAGGAAAAAGCCAAAATCTTGAGTAGAAGAAACCATCCATTTTTTGATAAAATTGTTGTGATATTTGTTAGATCATGTTCACATTATAGTGCCAAGTATAGGAGTGAGAAAACTGAAAGGAAAAACAACCCCAGAGTTATTCTGTTTGTGAAGTTTTCTTTTTTTCTTTTTTTGAGTGGGAGTCTCACTCTGTCGCCCAGACCGGAGTGCAGTGGCCAGGCTGCAGCCTCCACCAGCGATCCTTCCGCCTCAGCCTTCCGAGTAGCCAGAATTACAGGCACGCGCTACCACGCCTGGCTGATTTTTTATTTATTGTAGAGATGAGGTCTTTCCAAGTTGCCCGGGCGGGTCTCTAACCTGCGGGCTCAGGCAATCCACTCACCTCAGCCTCCCAAAGGCGCGGGATTACAGACTGAGCCACCGAGCCCGGCTGGTGAAGTTTTCTTATAGGTGTCTTTTCCTGAGCTGCTTGATGTGAGCAGTTTTGACTTGTTCCAAGGCATCATTTCCATCCTGTTTATATTCTTCTGGAACCTGAAGTTTTGCCTAGCTTGAGGTGATAATCTCTGTTCTTTCACTGCCATTTTGTGTCCGAATTTTATGTTTAGTTTGCCCTCCATATCTGTGGGTTCTGAATCATGGGTCAAAAATAGTTGAGGGAAAAGCAAAAGTATCTGTATTGAACATGTACAGACTTTTTTTTGTCACTCCCTAAAACAATATAACAAGCCGGGCTCGGTGGCTCAACCTGTAATCCTGCGCCTTTGGGAGGCTGAGGTGAGTGAATTGCCTGCCCGCAGGTTCGAGACCCACCTGGGCAGCGAGACCTCATCTCTACAATAAATCAAAAAATCAGTCGGGCGTGGTAGCTCATGCCTGTAATTCTGGCTACTTGGAAGGCTGAGGCGGAAGGATCACCAGAGCCCAGCAGGTTGAGGCTGCGGTGGCCAGGAGCGGCCACTACACTCCAGTCTGGGCGACAGAGTGAGATTCCAACTCAAAAAAAACACAAAACAAAACAAAACAGTATAACAACTACTTACAAAGATTTCCATTGTATTAGGTATTATACGTAGAAATGATTTTAAGTATACAGGAGGACGTGTGTAGGTTATATGCAAATACTACTACGTTTTATTTCAGGGACTTGAGCATCTGCAAATTTTGGTATCTGAGGGATATCCTAGACCCAATCTCCCACGGATACTGAGGGAGGACTGTATATTTAAATTTGGGCTGTTGTTGTTTATGTTTTCAAGAAGATGGAGTAATCTGAAGTAGGCAAGGAGTGAATGGTTGGAGGCTGTGACATGCATGGAACATGCCTTCTACTCAGTCCCAGCCTGCCTTCCTGAACCAAATATCTAGAGCCACTTTTTTCTGTATCCTGTAATATTCAAGCATCCTATTCATGTTAATATCCCTGAGGAGTTAGTTTCTTGTAAAAGGCCAGATAGTAAATATTTTAGGTTTTGCCAACCATGTATTCTCAGTTGCATCTATTTCCCTTTGCTGTTGGAGTGCAAAAACAGAGAGAATACGTATGAATGATTGTGTTCCGATAAAACTTTATTTATAGAAAGGGAATAGGAGGTGGGCCAGGTTTGACCATGGACTATAGTTTATCTCTCCATCTTACAGTGTTTAGTCTATAATACCTGTATGAAAAGCTCAAACAGTAGCAAAGAGGCTAAATTCTGTCCTATGAAATTGGCAGCGCCTCTGAAGACAACAGCCTTGTGTTTAATAATTACAGTTCTGCTAGACCTTGTGGGGAAGAGATGTCATAATCTGACCCAGCATTATAACACATATAATTTTACACGTACCCTTTGTTAACTTATTTTTGGAGAAATATTACCAAAATGGTGCACCTTAAAAATAAAAGCATAGATCGTTCTAAGGTCTGTGTAGTATCCTGTGTTAAAATTAGTCTCTGCAATGAAAAAGAATACAAATGGGTAAGTACTTAATTT